ACTTGTCAACTTACGTCTCAGGGTGACGGGCGCAATGGCAGTGCACCTAAAATATTTGTAATTTAAAGCCCTGAATGGTACTGCAACTGTTTTGGACAGGCGTGGTACCACCAGCGCATGACTTGTTCGTCCCGTCACTTGATATCATAAAAAAACTGTAGTTAGTGACTACCGTTTTCTTCCTCATCTCCACAAATACAAATCGTTCCAAATCTCCCAGTGTTATTTTAAATACTCTGTTTTACGGAATAATTATCGCTTAAAAACCCCTGACGCAATGTATTCTACTGAAGTCACCATCTGTAATCTATAACTTGTCGAGACCTAATACGATAGTTTTACTGTTCGTTGAGGAGTTTACTAGTTTGCAGACTGTCTTGGTTCCAGTATCTGAAGACGTTACTGTAGTTTATGTTATCGAAAATCCATATTATATCAAATATCGAAGTTAGAAAGGGGATGGTGGAATCATGCAATCCCGTCGCATACCCTCCTTGATATGTTATGATTGGAGCGGCTGGGAGGTTTTGCAACCTATTAAATTTGATGGTGGTGTGGACTGTACGGCGCGGTTCTAAAAGAAGGTAAGGAAAAAGTCAGATTTACAGCTATAGCATCGAGAAAATAAAGAATAAAAAATAGAAAGAAATATTATGAAGAAAAACTGTACCGCGCACGCTGTATATGCTGGAGGTGTACGTCGCGAGGGGAATATTTACACGAAACAACAAATCACTTAAAATAATGCGGTTTTTCAATGAAAAAAATGTCCGTCATCCGCAAGAACAGCGTAGCGTGTCGATCTTTTTCTTTTTCTCGAGGTGGTCGCGGCGAGGTTCTCTTGCCGTACCATGAGCCAGCGAATACGAAGCCAGCGCACTCTAGTGGCGATTTCGTGTCTTCTATCCCCTTCACTCAAAGGCATTTTGGCACAATGCAAAAGGGAAGAGATAAAGATTCGATGCCATGCCTAATTAATGGAATTAAAGTATCACCAAAGAAGCGCATATTGGTTTGAATGCGAAAGTTAAACATTGCCAATATAAATTATATGGGAAATTTAAAAATAAAAATAATACATTTGTGGCGTTACCAATGATGGAACATAGATAAGCCGGCAAATATACGGCGGTGTTCAAGGCTCCGTGGCTTCGCTTCAACTAAATCCGAGTCACAGTCAGTTTTTCAAAGGATTTCAAATCAAAATAGCAGTTAGCGGATCCGTCACATAGGCGACAGCCCATGACCGGATTTGTGCTGTTTACAGCTTTAACACGTGGAGTGCGCCTTGCCTTGGAATGGATGTCACGCTTCCTGGTTGCATTTTTTAGCTATGAATTCAAAGTATCTACCGAAGTTCATACTGGAAGACATGTTCGTTCCAAGTAGCTGGAAATGGTCAGATATTGGTATGGATGCGTCTTGCAAAGTCGAAGTCGGGTCAAACTCCCTTTTGTGAAGAATAAATACGCCTGGGTTTTGATAGCGTTAAATCTGATAATGCTGTCACCACCTCAACAGGAGATAGCCTTCAGTATCGAATCTAAACGACTAATTATGTACAACAAGATCGAATATTTCTGCCACTGGCCCTTGCATTGGAAAAGTATACATCTGCAACTGCGCTGACATCAGCATACCTAAAGATGCCTGGAATGAACATTATCTTTAATATGCAACAACAAATGTGTGCGAACAATACTGAACCCTGAGGAACTTCGGCGTCACCCCTTAGATTGCTTGATTCTTAATTTCCGAAACCATACCCACATACCATAACACACACAACCATAACCATAACCCAGAGTATGCCTGATACTAAAATACAGGCCTCCAGAAGCATAATTTTGGAACCGGAGCTTCCTTGAAACTTGTGTTAAAGCTTCTTAGCCGCTCACGCGATGCGCTTATCCTACCGCAAAATGGCGGCTATTTGGTTTCGCAAATTAGAAAAGGATTCAGTTTAAATACAAGTTTAAATAAAAATTATTATTCTGCATTGCTAAATAAATACCCTCCGTACTACAACAAAAACATCTCAAATAAATTGCAGTAATACACCGCAAATCCTGCACTTAAAAAGCACTAATGAAATTTTTGGTGTACTTGGGTAAATATGATAATATTCCGTTTGAGTAGTTCTAATGTTTACCATGAAATTACTCCTTAAAGTATAGTTTATAAACATTTATATTCAGGGTAAACTTAAAAAACGCAACTTACGGTATGTTTTCAATAAATAAACACCGACATCACAAGCCCAAAGAATAACACACACGATTGTCGTGACGTATTTTTGAAGTTGTTTATTTTTTTTAAATGACAGACCCAGGCATTAAAAACTTTATGGATTGCTAGAGTAGTTACCGAAATAGCAATTAGTATTAGTTCTTTTACCTGTTATAACTTCGATATCCGATAAATCGGTATAAAATCACCACCGGCACCTCTAGGTGTGGTATGCTTCCAGAGACGCATGAATCGCGTGAGCGGTTAGACAGCTATTTCATTCTGTATCACTTGTTTAAAACTAAAATTTTGTAATAAATGCCAACTTTGACGTTCGTTCAACTTCCCCCTTGAACATATTGAATTGTTACCTATCACTACCACAAGTTCTAAGCGATAATGCATCAAATCAAACAGATGTCCTTCAGAAAATTCGTTCCCAATAATTGGGACGTTTGCTTTTACACAAATAAGTACAAACATCGAAAATTCACACTTTATCGCCTGGAATCTCTCGCAGCCAATTTCCAGACGTGGGGTACCACCGACTCGAAGGAGAATTTTCTCAATAACTCGGCGGTATAATAATAATATTATATTTTTATTTACCTCAAATATCCTGCTTTTGTGAATAAATAACCATAATTCTTAGTTTACATGTAGGTAATATATAATAGGACATACCTTCGTGGTGAAATTGCAACGAATTTGGTTTAGACCTGACCTGTCAAAAGAAAGGTATAGCAAAATACCTCACTAAAAGCATTTTTTTATTCTTAACGAAATGTTCTCGGTTTATAACGTATTACGCATTCATAATCAATCAAGTGACATTAAGTTGATTTTGTTCGGGTTTTCTGATTAGGTGTTAATAATTTCAATATCACTAACTAAATCTTATTATTTAGATCTTACTTCGCTTTCTGATTACACATTGTATGTCTGTCATTCAGACGTAATTGTTTCGTTGGGGTATCCAAATGGATAACGACACCTCGAATTTTCATTGCAATTACGGACGTCAGGAGGTTTTCTTTGAGTAATAGGTGACTTCCCGAATTCCCAAATTATCACAGTCGATGGCGTATATGTTGTCCGCGAGATTGTCGTCTTCACCGAGGACGTGTCTAAAATGTTATTAAATTTTTATAGTTTCTTTCCTTAACAGTTACTTTAAAGGCACTATTCAAATTTGAAACAACCTTCATGTAGTTTTAACACAGGTTAATATCGGTTTTTTTAACACAGTGCACAAGCTAACAGACTTTATCAAATAGGGACAACTCGAATACAGAGAACAACCAAAACTCATAAATATATGAACTACTTGTTCAATAAGTATAAGAACAACGAAATATGTAGGATCACTGTTCAGAATACACATAGACTTGAGCCAATTAAAACAA